GGCCGACAAGCGTAGTGCGAGGACCCGTCCATCGCCGCTTGCGGCTTTAATTTATATTGGATTTCTTATTTAGGTACAGTTTAGCTTGTATGTGTACATTTAGGCTTTATTATTATTATTATTATTGTTATATTTATATTATCATCTATAAAGTAACAAAACAGTAAAATCTGTATATTAACAATAAATGATTTAAAAGATTCAACTGTCAACTTGATTGACGGCTAACATTTGGTGGCTGCAAACACAATAAAGCAGGAATTATTAGCATTTATGAAAACTGCTTTTTTGTAGCTTGGAAATGAAAGCAGTTTTTTTCCCAACATTTTACAGAATAAAAACAGAAGCCTGACAGTTTTGCACGTTGCCTTTTACACCATTCTGTGAGAAGCAGTGACTTATGGCCCATTTGGTTTTCCATACAGACAGAATGCACTGATAGCTCAGATGTGAGACTGTTAGACGTGAGTCATGAGTGAATTGTCTTGTTTTAAATGACAAGTGGCTGCATGTACCTAAAATGAATAAAGGAGAACGATGAATGTAAAGTGTTTTGTGGATGGACGGAAAAGGATCCAATGATTCAGCATTTCCTGGATGGATTCTAACTTGAATCATTTCAAGAGGTCGATATCATTGAACAGATCAGATCTCAAGACCTTCAGACATGTTTCTGACTGTTCTGCAGTGTCATTTCTCATCAGTTATATTCTGTTTGCTACACATCTGCAATAAGCTCAATGATTTCTATCCACAAGATGAGGATTAAGGAACTGAAGGTCAAACTCTGTGCTGCAGAAGCAGATAAACTCCTGCTCTTCCCATAATAGAGGGAGCTTTATGAAGCTAAACACGGCTCCTTGTTTGGAAAAAGTCGACACTCTTCTGTAAAACTGGCTGCGTTCTGAGATAAAAATAGCCGATTTGTTAATGACACTTAGACACACAGAAGACACAGAGACACAGGGTGGCATTTCTCTCTTTTATTAGATTATAATCCGCAGAGCTTAAAATATTAAATTGCTTTTAACTTAGTTAATAATTAAAATACATAAAAACGAGAGCCAGAACTGAAGAACCCTGCAAAAAAAAAAAAAATAAAAAATTAAAATAAATAAAAAAGGAGAATCATAAATCCAATCCTCCTCCGAACAGAGGCTATGTCTGACAGAACCCGCTTGTGATTCTTTGTACAGTAAAGTCCAAGCAGACTGTGCATTTTCTATACATGTGTAATGATATCATCGTTGTTATCATTTCTGAACTAAACTTCCTCTGATACTCTTTTTAAAAAGCAAATTTAAAGGGACTGGTGGAGACTTTTAGTTTTGCACTGGGAGCACTGGTGACTGTTGGACAGCAGAGCAGCTGGACACCACCGCTACACCCCTCTCTCTGACTCCGTCTCTCTTCCTCTGTGAGCCTGCAGACATTACCTCATGTCTTTGTCCTTCTGTGCTGCTGGAGTGGGGGGTGATGGTGGTGGTGGTGGTTTAAGAGGCTGCAAACGGCTCTGATTCACCTCCTACGGGCACCAGTCTGCCTCATAGCATCCGCTCTATGATCAGATTAAACATCTAGCATACAATCTTTTAATATTTCCTTCTCTGTCTCCTTGTTTCTGTGGCTACGTGTTTGCTGCCCCCTACAGGTAAGCTCTGGGACATGTTGGTTAGGGGTTCACCAGGTGATTATGTGACTATGCTGCAGTTAAACACATACGGAGGGAGGACTGAGCAGTCTGGTGAACAAGGGACAGAGAATGAAAACGAGAGTGACTCCTCTCTGGCAGCAGTGACGTATTCTCTCAGGTCCTGAGTAGGAAGCGCTTCAAATCATCCCCCCGCATAAACAACCCAAACAGTGATTGGCTAGCATCGCCCCGTCAGGCAGTAACGTGGCTCCCTACTGGCCGGCGTAGCGGCCGAGCGCCCGCGGGCCGCCTCCCGCTGCCGGAGGAGGGGAGGACGAGCCGAGCAGGTGAGCAGAGACGCCTCTTCTCCACACATCAACAACACTGTACAATAGTAGGTCGAAGCAAAGCAGAGCCCCCTTCCTGTACTGTATGTTAGGCAGAGGATGGAGGGAGGGCGGCCGGACACGCTGCGCCCCCTCCTCAAACAACCAAAAATAAAAACTGAATAAAACTTCAACAAAAAAAAAAAAAAAAAAAAAAAAAAAAAAAAACAAAAAAAATAAAAAATAAAATAAAACAATACACATACTTTTTTGTTCCTAGTTTAAATTGCAGAGAAGATGGGAGGGATTTGCCCCTGGGAGGAACGCTCACGCCAATTCCTGCTGGCGTGACAAACCCCTCCCCGCCACCCCAAACCCCCCTGAAAACCCTCCCGCCCCTTTTTTTCCTTCCGGCTGGTTGGTTGGTGTCGTAGCGAAATACAAGGGTAGTGGAAGGTCTCTTAAGTCCTGCTCGCACCGAGGAAGGGGGCCAGGCTGTCTTTCCTTCTCTCCTCTATCTTATCTTCTATCACCCCCGGGGCCGCCGTCTGACCGCCGCCCCCGCTCATCTCTCCGTCACGTGGTTTTGTGAAGAGGGGGAGGGCGCCGAGGCGGGGGTGGAGGGGGCCGGGGCGGGCGCCGGCGGCGGGGCGGGGGTGCAGAGGATTTCGGACAGGTCGTCCATGATACAGGTCTCCTTGGGGTCGACCAGGTTGAATTCCCTTACGAAAACGATGAAATGTGCATACAGAGTGTTCAAGTGGCCCTGCAGGTCCAGAGCCACCGTCTCTTTAAAGTGCGCCCAGTAGAGGTGAGCCAGCACGTGGAACAGGTACCGGCAGATCTTCTTCACCAAGGACTCAAAGGAGTTGGGAAACTCTTTGCCTGGAAGGAGAAAAGAGACAAAACAAAAGCAGTTTATGAGCTGAGACAATCACAAAGGTGAAGGTCAGAGGTTAAGCCTGCTGCTGTTTGACAGCTTTCTGTTATTTACTGTCAACAAAACCCATTAAAACACCGTGTGTGTGTAGAGTAGCTGCTGCCTCAGTGTTAAAAAAAAAAAGCCTCTCTAGAGCCAGCGTTTGGTTTTTTCCATTCTTGGCTACTTGCAGAAACACGGCAGCCAAACACAGCAGGCTGTGTGGAAGAACTCCCACCGCCTGGGTAGGTACGAAGGGCCCATTCTAAGCTAATGAAAACACAATAATTCATAATTACAGATGATTACCCACTAACTAAAACAGAATTAGGAATATTCTGTTTCATTTCCACCAACTGATTCCTCGCTTTAAGTCCCTGAGCTCACAGAAGAGGCTCTAATGTCTTATAAAAACCAGGAAGTGTAGTTTTTAACAAATGTTTTTCCAGTGGTTTTCTTCCTGTGGACGGCTTTCTGTCACAAATTATTAACGATAGATGTAGATTTATTTATTGTAGCCTAAAATTTCTCATTATTTATTGCTCTTAAATTACCAATCTGATGCAGCATCGGACAAAATGTGACACATAGTTTAGTATTTTTCTATAAATGGCTCCATAAAACCACAATTTACTGCTACTCATATTACACAACTCTGTGGTGCTTTCAGGTAGTAATTTGCTTTTTTGTGCTGCTTTTACACGTCAGAATTATACATCTTGTAACAGAGTTTTGTTTACAACTCTCATCTGAATTAGTATCTGAAGAGTTCATTGGCAAAACCACATAACCCCGTCTTCACAAACCTCCAGAAAACCCACTTCTCCATCATCTACCTGAGACAACATCAATCAAACTTGTCTCTATTTTTGTCATTTCTACTGAGTCAAGTCCACTCAGCTTCAGTTTGTTTGATATCATCTCAAGCAAACAACAACAAAAAAAACTTTTCTGAAAACCTACAAAAATTGAGCTTTTGCAAATGAACTCTTCACTTGTTGTAGATGCATTTCCTCGAACGTCTCTGCTGTGAGTAAAACAGGAAAGTACAAGTTAAGCAGATTTATATGTAATAATGCTAGCTGGACTAGTATGATGGGCTGATTTGAAGCAAAATGTCTGGTTTGGCCTTTTCATGACTTTTGTCGACATTCTGAATCTGTCCTGACACCAAGCCTCTTGAGCTAATTTCTTCCTGATGCTACTCACGGGACACTAACTCAGTCCCTGCATTTCTACATCCGAGGCAGCAGGGGGCAGCACAACATCAGCTACTTCAGAGGGCTCCTCTTGCCTGAAAACTCACCGTATTTTGTGGGAAAGATTTCCTCATCTGTGACCAGTTTCTGACAAAGACTCATTACAAAGTCGACGTATTGCGGAGCAGTGCACTTCGTCTTCTTCCCCCTCTCGTCATACCAGTAGTATATTCTAGAGAGTAAGAGAGGCAGAGAACATGTCAGACGATCTGCGTGTTTCACAACAACGTTAAGACACATTTCAGAAGAACGGGGTCGGTTTACGCAAGCTTTTTATTAATCACGATGAATGTCTTTAAAAGAATGTTTGCGGCTGACGTAGCTGCAGCGGTTCAGGCGTAAACAAGTTCATTTCCTGGAGTAAAGAGAAAAATGAAGCAGGAAGGTCATAAACACAGACGTTACTGACCTATGAAACATCACCTGCTCTGTTTCCTCATTCAGGGAAAACCCATTCTCCTAATGACGCCTCGCTTTCTCAATGAAAAGGTGCAGCGCTACTACGAACTAACGACACGCACAAACTAGGTATCGAGTTTGCATTTTTCAGCTGCGGCGGACCTCGTGCCCTCGAGCTTTAATTTCCGTATTGGGCCAAATTCCCTGCTGCAGACGGGACACTGATCCCCCCTCAGTCCCCCGGTCAGCTGGTCAAACATTTCCGTAGTGGGCTGACCCAGATAACTGATTGTAAGTGGACGGCTTGGAAGCATAGTTAGCGAAAGGTCAAACAGGAGCTTGGCAGCGCAGAGCGAGTCACGCTAGCAGGTCAGCAGACACCTTAGCGATAGATGAATGAGCAGCGGGCGAGCCAGTGACAGACGAGACGGTGAAACAGGACCAGTAAGCCAACCGCAGAGACAAAAGATGATCTCAGCGAGCTCGAAAGGTCAGTTAATAAGCAGATAAAACAGTGAGGGGGGAAAAAAAACATAAAGATGTTCTGTAGCTGGTCTGGGAGGCCGTCGGGCCGACATTACAAATCCTGAGGAATGTAAAGAGTCCACATAACTGACCCTGCTGACCACAGCACCAGGACCCGACTCTTACTCACACAGCGTTAGACCGTGTGTGTGTTTGTGTGGGAGAGCTGGTGACTGGACTACAAACATGCCTCCACTGCTGCAGACAGACGCGACACAAACATCACCATATAAAGCATAAAACGCTGCTACACACTGCGGCTTATGCACGAGTTATGAACAGGGCTCGGATTGAGTTTTTGTGAATCAAAATTATGTTTTGCTGAGGATTTGAAAATTTATTTTGCTTTCTCAGTTTCCTTACTTATTATTTGCTATGTCTTACGGCACTCTCATAACATGCTAACACTGTTGAGTCAATAGCAGATCTTCTCCATCTTTGGAAACTTTTGCATTCTTTTCAACCAGTTTTGGTGTACTTGGCTACCCCTGGAGGACAATAGGTGACTGTATTTAATATTCTATTTCAGTAAAAACAGTGTCTGCTGGTTTGGGGGGGAGGTTTCTATGTTTCGTAATCCTTTGTTAAGTGTCTATATTTGCATTTCCAAACCAGAAAGAAAAGCCTGACAGGTTTTGTCAGTTTGCTTTTCAGCTCAATACACAATGTTTTGCAGACTGCTAATAAAAAAATTAATATTTGATGAGAAGCTTAAGGAGTCTGATGAATCTGTTTATGTTACCGACCAAATCCCAAATGGAACCAGCTCTAGGAAACCAACGCTAGTGAAGACTGTAAGCACATTACCACACATTTCCTTCTTTCTCGCTCTCTCACACACACACACACACACACACTTACACACATCTATCCACCCACCCGTACAAAATGGGTCTAAATAGCTACCAAATGGTTCCGTTCCCTCATAGCTCATGGAAACATTTCCTTCCAAAAATAGTGCTGAGTTCTGCCCTTGGGCAGGGGCACTGACGCTGCTGTGACTGTGGCTCAGTCAGTTTTCACCACAGAGGGGGGCGCGGGTGCCAGGTCCATGGGCAGGAAAGGGTGGGGTGCTGGGCAGCAGGCAGCAGCGGAGGAAGGTACAATAAGAAATGGAGCGGCTAGCGCTGCAGTTTGAACGGTTACAGCACTCTATTAAATGTTAGCTAAACTTTGGATTAAGACATTAGCTCTGCTTTGCATAGCTCACTACAGAATGCAAACAGGGACATGCTAATCTGCTCTGCTGCCTCCTCTTCCCAGCCAAGGCACGTTTGCTTCTTCCATTTCTCAGGGTGTGGGTTAGCAGCAGTAGCTTAAGGTGACAGCAGTGGAAAAAGCCACTGTTGACTGAGAGGTTAACTCGTGACAAGTTCCTTTCTCACAGCAGATCTGTCGTGTTATTTTCATTTGTCAACGGCTGCACGGTTTGTCACTGGTGTCACCGGCATAGTTTTGTCCAGAGTGAGCGTGTGCACTCGTAGGTTGCATGTAGTGTGTTAAGAGCTGTTCAGTGAGTGTTGTAGTTTGTCACGATGTGGATAATCTGGTTTTTCCAGCTTTCGGTGTACGCAGTGCGAATGAAGGCCAACTTTAAAGACAAGGGCTCATACATAAAGACTGCACCCCACCCTGACAGGGAAAACTAGTTAGATAAATACTTACAGTTAGTCACCTCCCCTCTGCTAACATGAAGACACATCCATGTTATGATTAAGCCTGCTTTACTGCACACAGGAGGGATTAACCTCCTTTGGAGAAAACAGTTACAACATACCTCTAAAAACGTGACGGACAAGGTTTTTTTTTTCAAACAATCTGTCTTGAGTGTGATTCAGTTTTCAGGACCAGAGCTGGCCTTAATCACTGGAACAAATGGCCAGACTGCTGGCAGACTGCGGGTTAACCGTTTGATCAAAGTATCGAGGAAGTGGGTGTGATGTGAGTATAATTATATCAGCAGACTTCAGATAACAGCAAAACACACATGCTGGACCGCAGAGGATTAAAGCGAAGCCAGCACACGTTACAACTATTAGCACGTGAGCGCTAACTTTGCCAGGACACGCATTTGTTCCAAGTCCGTGTTGACCTTGAAAATAGGGTTAAAAAATGTGAACGTTACCCCCCTGGACCCCAAAACTCATTGATAGGTTTAAAAGGCATGTTTTGTTTTTGTTTTAAATCAGCTGAATTGCATCATTGATCAAAGAGGACCAGAGTTTTAAGCTTCTGACGGTCACTGGACTCCTGTGTGGCTAAAAAAAGCTGTGCTATTGAGTAAAAGTGTGACCAGAGAATCACAAACCCATCAAACTTGCAGACCCAGGGTCCTCATGCTCCCATATTAACATGCAGCGTGCTACACTACAGTTAAAAGACCCAAACTAACCCGAGCACATCTCTCTGGGTTCTGAGTCTGCCCTCGCTGACCAGGGAAGCGTCCCTTAATGAATTAACCAATCGGACGCTAGCTTTCTGATGAATAAACCAATGGGACTCGGCAGGTGAGCGATGAATAAACCAAAGGCGTGGGAGATAACTTACGTGCTGCAGGCCGTCATGGCTTGACAGGTGTCCCCAGTGCAGAACTCTGAGATGGTGCTGTACTGCAGGTTGATAAGATTGAAGAATGTTGTCGCTGTGGAAAAGACAAGACGGATCGTAAGCACATGAATATATCAAACGGTGCGGTCAAATATTTTTAGGTCACGATGATGATTGAAAGCAGTGGCAGAACACAAAAGCGGCATTAGCGCCGTCACGTTCTCCTACAGTCAGCGAGGACACGCCTGTAGTGTATACTGTGATCAGTCACATGCAGGCTGTAAATCCATCGAGTCACCACATCCTTTACCAGCGTATGACCCTTGAGAAAAAAAATGGAAGAATGGGAGGCGGCTGCAGCTTTGGCGAAGATTTAAGTTGTTGTCACATCAAGCAGGTATTTTTGCTGCAAGGGAAACTCCCTCTAAGCACATTACGCTGCGAAACAAAGCAAACCGGGGGTCCGTTTAGCGTGAAGAAATGTATCCCACAGTCTGAAATATTTGCTCTGTATGTTTGACGTACTCGTGGCATCTTTCAGGTATGGTAGCATTCTTTGAATCTTTGACTGCAAAGGAAACCACTCAGAGAACATTCTTGCTCATTTTGGGGCACTTAAAGAAAATATTCAGGGTTGATGAGAGGAAAAGCAACATAGTGAACCAGCTAAAAGAAAGACATCAATATGAAGGTAGCTGATAAAATACAAACACTGTGGAGAGTTATTTGACTTTACTTTAGTACAGTGGGGACATCGTGATTTTGCCACATTGGTGTAATTTAATTTTCACTTTCATTTTGGTTCAGCCCAACTCCCAAGTCTTGGTTTTTCTCATATGGCATGAACCCGATGACACAATCTAATTGCACTGGACCCACCCAGTAGCTACCAAGTTGGACATTTTTCAGTGAAAGTATTGCTGATTTATACATGCTGGCAGAATTAAATGGCTCCAATCATCATTGATTTGGTTTTAAAAAATCAGTTTAATCAAAACATTGCTCAACTCTATTGCTCGCCTTTAAGCCAAAACTAATTAGTGGTGGATACAAGTTGATACAAGCCCGCTTACATAACGTCCAACTCAGTAATGAAAAGCACATCTACATGTGAAATCATGTCCCATCTGGTTTTATATAACTCGCTTCTATCATTCTGAAATAAAAGGGAAAGAAGAACGCTTGTTTTCCATTTTCCCCCAGCGAGCACCTGGCTGGTTTGGATACGTAACCAAAGCAAAGCCAAGGAGACGGACAAAATAAAGAGCCTCATGAGATCGATCAAGCAGCCGGGCCGCGCTGAGTTTACGAAACCCCAGAAATGATGCTCATAACGACAACTATAAATTTCAGCAAAAGTTAAAACACGGCGCTGAGAGTGGCAGTAAACGATGGTGTTTAAAGAAGTCGTGTGTGGCGTCGTTGGGAACAGGCTGAGTGCCGTGCCAGGCCTGGATCGTGTTAAGGGTTGTCGCACCGCTGGAACATCTTGTTATCTCCAAGTGACAAGTGCACACAGACTGGAAAGACGATTCCAAACCCCTGAGGTAAAATTTGCAAGCGAACACTGAGCTTCATGAGGAATTTTCATGCCTCTAATAAGATGATGTTTGCACTTTTCATGCTAAATTTTACAGGTTTGACTGGTTTAATAAGGACTTCTGTTGACTGTACAGACACACGGCATCCACAAACTGCTCATATCCATCATCATCTACCACAGCATTAGGTCACTCACTGTTGCTGGCTAGCCATTCATTGAGGTCTATCTCTCTGGGCAGCACCACCAGCTCCTTGAGGTCGAAGTCCACCACACGGATTTTCGTGAACTCTGGCTCCAAGTACTGCTTCTTCTCTTCTGCCGGAGGCTTCTTTCCATTTGGCTTCGTCTTTGACTTCCTGCAACACAGAAGAAAAGAATACAGGTTAAGGAGCTGCAAACGAGACAATAAGGGACGATTTGAAGGGCCTCAAATGGTAAAATTACTGTTAACTGGACGCTGTGAAGAACGTGAGACGACATAAGCTCCTGCTAAACTGCTAGCACAGGAAATTTCCAAAAAGACTGACATCATGCTGCTGTAACGACGTATAGCATGCAACCAGATTTTCAAGTAGCTCCGGCCAAATGCTGAGGCAGCATTGAATATGGAAGAGAAATCAGCACCAGTTGGTGCTGCAGTAAAATTCCACTGATGAACAAGGAAATCAGCGCAGGTTATTTGATCTGCATGGAAAAAGCTCCTTGCAGACAGAGACGCAGTAGCCTGAGCTACAAGCCTATAAAACACGAGGGACTGGATTTCTTTTAAACAGATCACAATAATCTAAACCTTTTTGTGACTTTTCCGACACTGGATTCAGATCAGCCTAAACAGAGCGAACAAAGAGCCCACTGTTGCTGTACCTGACCTCCAGCTCCGACCCCTGACCTAAAGCTAGGGTCTATAACTTCCACGCAGACGGCCGTCCCCAGTGCCTTGTACTTCCACTGCTAGTTTTAGCACAGGGATGTCATATCACACTCTTCCTGCACTTCCAGGGCTTTAACCTCTCCTCCCCCAGCTCCTGCTCTCTGTCTGCATCAGCGGAGGCAGTGCGAGCTGGGGTCAAGGGTTGAAAAGCTTGAAACCAAAATACAGACTAATGCAATTGACCGCCCCACAATCCTCCTCCTTCACGACTCTGAATGCTGGAGCTGACGAGATGCAGCTTGATTGGTATTCTGTTCGTGCTTTTCCTCGCCCTGTAACAGCTGTTCCTGTTCCCAACTCTGCCTCCATCTTTATATCACTCCCACTTGGCTCTGTTACTGTTGTTTGGGTTTGCTTAAGGACAAGGGAGTTTTAGTTTGCTCCCTGAATTTATTGTGCTTTTGTTGACCCTCATTTCCGGCCTTCTTGCACTCACCCGCTATATCGCTAGTTCTCATCCTCCTCTTTCCACACCCTCTGTCTAAACACAATGATCCAGCCATGTGTTCTTGGCTCTCGCTTTCCTCCTTTCCTTCCAATTCGCACTCCCAGATCCCCCCGCCATTGCCGAAAGACGGCAGCGCTGGCTCCCGGACTGAGGAGGACTGTTCTAACGGCACTAATGACCAGGGATCATAAACACTATTTTTTCAGCAGCAGCCAAATCCCTTCTCACTTTCACTGGGGCTCGACTGCGACTAACCCTCGAGTGTGCAGGAAAGAGGTTGGTTTTCTACAGGAAGAAAGGTAGATATTATTAAGATATTAGACACAGGTTTAGAGAGAGGAGAATGGAAGCGGGGGGGTTAAGCGCAGAGAAAGGAATGGAGAGAGGCGGTGGATCGACACAGGCCCAGCTGATATCCATGGGAACTAATAAACACTTTCAAAACATGACAGGACTGTGAGGCACGAGGCCTCTTGGCCAGAGCACAGTGTTCAAAGGCCCAGTGCAGTTTAATTCCCTTCTCCAGGAAGCGTCACCCTGCTTTCCACCTCGGCAAACAAAGGCAGGCATGTCAACATGAGGATGCATACAGAGCCGGCAGCCTTTTACTTTGTCAATGTTTAAGATCCTTCCTCCTCCCCCTTTTACATGTTCGCTGTCATCTAATTTATCTGTCGGGAGAAATGTTCAGCTGTAAACGGCACAATGATAAACACATGCTCACGAGTGCTCAGGTTCTCATCTGTTGGGTAATGATTCATCAAGCTATCTGTGCTTCCAATCAGACAGTACCTGAGCTTGTTTTGGCCTCATTTAAAAGCCGAGGACACTCCGGATTACACTGCTGGCTAAATATTAATGACTGGTCACTTTCTGTTTCACCTCTTCTGTTGCTCTGCTCACAGTCTTTGTTTTTTTTTTTTTTTAACCAATATCTCGTCTTACTTTGGGTTTGTAGGTATTTTTTTCTGACCTTCCCTCTCCGTGGCTGCAGGCTCACCTGTCCAAACATCCTATTGTTCGGGGTCAATAGCCTCAGGCCTCACACTCCCATCTTCACCTTTCTTTTCATCTCTTTCTGCCCTTTGCCTTCATCTTTCTGTCCCCAGCCATTATCCTGCCCCACAGCTTCCAATTTAGCCCACTCCTTGACCTGTGCTCTGACTCATACTTTAATTACTGTTCCTGTTTTCACATTTAAAAGGTCCTTCCAGTGCTTGTTTATAATGTCTTTCATTTCTCCTAATCTCTGTCTGCTTCCTCTCTCGCTCCAAAACAGACACAAAAAAAAAGCGTCGTCTTCCTCCTCACGAGGGCGCAGACAGATTCATGTGGTCCATGTGGTTTTGCGCTGTGAGCTACATGTTCCGTCATGTGAAAGAGCTTTAACCGAGGAAGGACCTTCATCTAGAGATACCGTCAGCCCTCACAGCTTTTCAAAGGCTTTGCTAAGCCTTTCAGAAAAAAGCTGGTCGGCTCCTGCGAAAGGATCCTTTTGAAAACATTCTGTTTCACCGAGCTATTTCCTGCCTCTCTGTAATTTCATCATTTTCCGTACAAACGCCTCCTCCCCTTCTTGTGAACATTCGTGTGGTAAGGGGAGGTGAAATTCTGGAGCCATTAGTTTATTTTAGGATAAAGAAAACTTCCTCTATGCCAACACTCCTCCCCTCATACGTACATAGTCTGTCTTCGCTGCAACACACACACACACACACAGCTTTGTCTGTTCTTGTTAAAGTTCTCCAAGGCAAGTCTTTGCCATAAAAGGCAGCAGATGCCTCTTTCTCCTCACCAGATCAGGGACAGATCAGGGCAGGCCAGAGACAGGAGTGGAGGGGAGCTGAAGTCAGGGCCAGGCACATGTCTCCAGGCCGGGGGGAGAGCCACAGCCTGCCTGGCACCAACAGGAACAAGCCTATGATAAGGGTTCGCAATCGAGAAAACATGGTCTGCCAGTACAAAACCAAATTTCAAGGTGAGGTAAGGGCTGAGAAGCAGGAAGACCTGCTGGTGTTTATCAGCAATGAAAACAATAAGGAAATAGGGCTGTATAGTTGGGTGACTGGGAGGTCAGTGCTGCAGAGCTGAGGAGCGACTGACCCGACAGCTGTTCAACTCTGTCTGTTAGCCACTCCTTTCACTTTTCCCAGCAACACCACCTCCCCCAACCATCAAGCCGTCTTCCCTCACCACCTTTCCTCTTGTACAACACCACCGCTACTCAGCAAACACACTGTGGGGCACACATACACACCTGTGCCTACAAGCACACAAAATCACACACACACATGTGCACACACACTCGACTCTGGCTGAAGCCCCCTTTCCCTTTTCACGGTCGACCCAGCTGGTCACAACAGCTGCGTCACGAGCCTGATCCCACCAGAGACCCCGAGAAAATCTAGAAGAAGCAAGTTCTGTCTGGTCTGAAAGACTGTGTTTGTGCAAGCACGTGTGCGTCCGCCAAGGCTGTTCAGTCAAACATGCATCTCTTGGGCTTCAAACTGGTGCAAATATTAGCTCCTGTATGTTAGCTGACTGTGTGCCAAATGAACACTGAATACACTTGGTTCTAAAATAAGCTTTGTATAAAGAGGAGCAGCCCTCTGGCAGGTACACCACAAGGCTGTCTCATTACCAGAACCTGGTTCCAATTAATCCTAGAATCACATGGGACCACATTACGCAGCTATGCAGGAGAATTAGCTGAAGTGCTTTCTCTAGAATACTACAATTGCTACTAAACAGCTCTCCCTTTTCCTGCCCTCGCCTCATGCACACACCAGAGCTTTGCTAACATTTAGACCACTTTTCCTGTAGTTATCACCTCCACACCAAATCACAAACATATTCCGTCAACAGTGACATTCATGCTGTAAACCCACAAGGTCCTGGATTCTGTCTTTTTACTGGTTTCTTTCTGTAATGCGAACACAATAAAACCGTGTAGCAAAACTCATGTTACACCGCTCTTCTCTTAATGCTTCAGCCAAGCCAGATATTGCACAACTATTGCCTGGATTGGCCTTCTGGATCGCGGGGGAATCTAACTATTGGCATATGGATGCAGTTAATGCAATCTGCTAGGGTGAGCAGCACTGACAACAAAGACGTCTACCATCTCCTCCCAGATGGCTGCTTGTTGTACTGACTGGAAAGATTTGAGAAGTGTAACTTTAAAAAAGTTTCATTTAACATCAAATTCAGGCAAATACAATAAAACAAGAGGCAGAAAATAACTGCACGTTGAAAGAGGAACCAAACAGGATCTCTAAAGTACAGGGTCTTTTTCTTATCTCTCTGCAACAAGAAGAGGCGCTCTGAGGTGCAAAGATATGCTCCTCTTGTCAGCACCTGGCCCCATTACAGTTCAGTTTGACTGGAAAACACTCCCAGGGTCTATGACATAGGTATGACAGGTAAGAAGCACCAGCAGAAGTGTTCCAACCTGGAGAAATCAAATGACTCCACCTGCCCGAAGCATTAAGAAACACTTGATAGTCTAGAAGGAGAATCAATTAAATGCCAGAAAGTTGTTTGTTCTTGTGTCACAGATAACAGTTTTGTGATAAAACATCCACAGCAACAGGATCTCACTTCGATCCGCGATGATAAGACCAACTACGTGAATGAACTCTGCCATTTTGTAAAAAGAGCAGCTTCAGGAGGATCCGTTTTCTCCAAGCCCGCTGATCTATTTCAGGATTAAAATTGAATAGACTCAAGGGTTCTTTTCCCCGAAAAACCACAAACGGAGGAAAGGCAGGCAGTCAGAGCGCACCAGAGCTAAACCACAGCAGCCATTACAGGGCTAAAAAGAGACGGAGTTAAGGACGGACTAAACCCGAGGTTCAGCCTTGTGTTGCTCAAGTCGACGGCATAACTGCTCTGTCACAGTTGTTCCTGGAGTTTCTGTGTGTTCGAAAAGGCCACTGATGCACAAATACTCACCAGTTTTAGTTCTGGAGTGACGAGATAAGAAGGAAACAAAAACAAAGACGGCGCAGCTGCTACCACTTAATCAGTAGCATCACCGGGAGTGAAAGCAGCACAGTAAATGAGTAAATGAGGACTGAAGCCAGGCCCGCGCACACACACACATGAAAAAAAAGGTTATTCAACTACTAACCCTACCCAGCACAGTTCTGGCTACCTCCTCTTCCCCTTGTCATCCTGTGCTAAATCCCTTTCAGTGGCTCTCAGGCCTGCAGAGTATGTAAGGACCCCCTGCCAGCACCATAATGGATCCTCATCAACATCACAACACACACATGTGCGACAGGAAGGGGGTTTGGAACGAGATAAGACCAAGCCGCTGGTTAAGCACTTGGCAGATGTAACCTCGTCTTGCTGGAAGAAGGTTAGTCCAGACATCGATTTGGCAACACGATTTGGTGATAGGAAGCAAACGAGACAGATGATTTGAATCAAATGAGATTTCTCTACACTCTGATAACCTCAAAACAATGAGGGTCAGGGAAGCAATTTTTTTCCCACATTATTCTGAAAGTTCAGCCAAGATTACACAAGGCTGCATGTTTACTCTTTGGGGAATAAACCACCAAAAGCTATCTTAGCCATCTCCTGTCAGTCCAGTATTCATACCTGCTTCCAAGCCAGAGGTATTCAACCATTCACTGGAGGAGGAAACAGGTTACAAGTGGAGCAATAAACAGGTCTACAGTGCCCCCTACACCCTCATAAAACTGCAAACTATGCATCCTTGTTAACTTTGATGAAGTGTTTTTTTTTTTTTTGCTCAATTTTTCCTCAAGACGGAAAATCTGTGAAAACCCCCTTTTGTTCCTCCCAGGCAAACACGTCAACGGCGTATTTCTTTGTGGCCAGCTGATTTCCTAAGTACGGAGGTTGGGCTCCCAGTAAAATAGGAGCAGCCTAAACGTGCCTCAACCTGTCGCAGGTCTTGCAAAAGACATGACAACATACTGTAACAATAACAAATATCTGTTGTGAGCATTAAATCCTGCTCACGGTCTGTCAAGAAGAGGTCCTAACATGGTAGGTAGTCTCCTCACTATCACGCTCCACATCCTCACAAAACACAAAAGGTTTTGAGGAATGTGCCCTTTGGGCTGCTGCTTCAAAAAAAGAAAAAGAAAAAAAAAACACCTGTCTGCAGACTTAAAAGGTAAGAGGAAGCTTCATCACAGCGTTAACATCGTGGTCTGTCCCCTGGAGGAACACACTCATAATGACTGCATGTCTTCTTCACAGACAGGGTAAATACATAGAAGGAGTAAACTGGGTTGACATTTGCCCTGTTCATAACCACTCTGACATATTATTTTGCTTGAACTGCATCGATTCTCCACGAGGGACTAATCGTGACTGGGTTAGTTGTTTGTGCCACTTTGTATGGCACACAAACACACTGTTAACGCTCCTATTTGGGTCATGCATTCTTGAAATGGTGCGTCTGCCACAACATAGTTTGACCTTAAGATGAAAGCGAGACAATTGCATTTTTCACAGCATCATTTACACGTGAAATGTGGGTCAAAACTACTTACTAACAAAGAGGAAAAGCAGAAAGATAATGGGCTGCATGTAATTTCAGTGGGATGATGTGAAAAAAGGACATAACTGGAATAAGAAGCACACTTTTACATCCTGTGTGAAATCTGCATTATAAAACAAACTAAACACGCTCTGTGATTTAAAAATCATTCCCCCTTTAAGTGATTTCAAACGTTTCAGGTGTTTAATAATTAATCAGACGAGATGAGGAGACAGTGTCACATTTCTCTTGTTCTTGTTGGGACTTGTTCGTGGGAGCTGCAGGAGGAGGAATGCCTGCCTCCCCCCCTCCAGTCACCAGCGGCTGGTAATTTGCTTTGACCCCGGAATCAGAAGGTCCCCCATACATGTGTAATTACTGCACAGAGGAGACAGCGACTTTAACTCACAGTAAAACCTGACTTAAACACGAGATAACTCCTGGTTTCAGTCGCTTTAGATGAAACATGCTCGTGGCAGCTCCGTGTTTGTGCCCTGAACGTGTGTAACAGCGCAGTAAGAGGTGCTAAAGATGAAATATGACGTCGGAAAATTACCCTAAAGAAAAAATTAATAAGGGTTTTAGAGTAGAAAGCAACAGCCCGATATGTTATTTCAAAAAGCTCTTTGACAAAACAGGCTCGACTAGCAAAGTCAGAGCAGACACCACGTTTGACAAGTTTTAATTAGCTTTACCTTAGCACCTTCCCGACCGCCTGAAGCACCATTTTGCAACTTAGTCCGTTTTTGGAGTTTCTCTGCGAGTGCATGTCCGTCTTATCTCCAGAAAAGGAGCAATAATCTCCGACCATAGCTTAAAACATGAAGAAGAAGAAGGAGAGGAAAAAGGAAAAAGTTGTCTCCCCCCCTGTTCTGTGCGTCCACCAGGGTTTGATGAAGCTGTGACTCACTGTACGCGGAGACAGAAAAACTTTGTGAGCAGACTTCACACAGAGCCCGCCTCCTCCGTGGCTCTCGTCCAATCGGGAGGAGGAGAGAGGGTCATGTGGGCGGGGCCGCGGCGACGTCAACGTCTGCCCATGTGGACGTGGTTCGTCCTTTTTTTTTTTTTTTTTTTGCTTTTCTACAGAAGTGCGGTTACAATGCAGGAACAGGTGGTCGCTTATTAACTGTCGACTACAATGAAATAGAAAGGTGTAGCTGCATGTATACACGCCTGCTGTAATAAAACAGGGTTATACAAGCAGAACAACAACAACAACAACAACTGGTAATGCATTACTCATGATATCAATTTCTAAATGATTGCATCAGTACAGCTGCATGTCAGATAAATGTGAGCTTTCTGTAACAAACCATTATTAAACGAAGCAAACTCTAATGAGGGTGGTGAAACATGGCTGAGTTGGTTTAAGTTGTCCCTTTGCCAGATAAAATAGCAAAAAAAAGAAAACGTTAAATCAGGCATGCAAAATCTTGACAAGAACGACTAAACCGAGTTCTGACACTTTACTGCTAGTTTACTACTAATAAACAGCCACCAAGTGTGACAGCGTGTCACTTCTGTGAGAACTAGTGCCATGCCTGCTGGGACTGCGGGGCCACATTCCTCCTGTCGATTCTGTACTTCACCTGGAGTCCAGTTATGACAGGCTGGCAGCAGTCAGGCGTGTTCGAACACGACCGTAAAAAGCCGAGAAACCAGCGACGGGAATCAAACAAAGCCTGTTCTAGAGCCGAAGGTGGATCTGTAAGAACATCCACGGGCTTCTTTGCATTTTTTGCGGGGCCAGGCTTTGTCTGAGGGGAATTGTTTGGAACGACAATTTGAGACGTTTCATTTTGTGGACTTGATTTGAAGCACGGGTATGATATAAATTCTAATTAAATTGTCAACAAGGAGCTGAGCCAACAACATTTAAAGTACAAAATGAACAAGAGGAAATGAACACTGTCTATTGGAAGACGTTCCACTCATGAGAAGATTACAACTGGTGTTACCAAACTATCATTCCCTCACTGTTCTTCCCTTTAATTATTGTCTCTCAACAGACATCCCCTCTTATTCTCTCTTCCACCGCTCTCTTAACACATTTCTCCTCCCTTTCTTGGCTTGTTTTTGTCGCCTCTCCCCTTCATTGTCTCCCCTTTTCTGCAACAAGTCTGTTTCTTCCTTTCCGTCTCCTAAGACAAAACCTCAGTGTTGGAGCTGCAGACTTGACCAGGACTGGAACAACTGTCAACTACAGCATGGACACACACAAAGACACTAATCTATGGAATCTGTGGAGCTATGTGCACTGCTTGCATGTGGGCGGGGGCAAGATAAAAGACGCTGTGAGGGTGAGAACTGTGTGTATGTACGAGGATGTATGATTCGTGTGTGCAAAGGTGCGTGTGGTGCCTGCAGAAAATGCCAGAGGAGCATGTTTAATGTGGACCGTTGGACCCTCTGAGGCGCCGCTTGTTTTTGTTTCAAAGCCCCTATATGATCCAGAGAAACGATTTGAAAGAATCAAAGAGACGGAGGGTCTGACAGGCGCCCTTCTGCACCCGCATCCTGCATGGCTGACTGTCTTCCTGCACGCCACACTGGGGGGGTGTACGCCGAAGTGCAGTGTGGTGGGTGGGTGGAGACGGGCGATCCAGGGGCCCAGCGAGCTGCGCTCCCAGCAGCGAGGGGCGAGAGACCAGAACAGGGCGCTGACTCTTCCCCCGGTGCTAATTATAGCATCAGCCTGCCTGGCCTGGCCCATAAAGAACACAGAAAACAGTGCAAAGACAGAGAGGGGAGGGGGAACACGCCATATGTGTGCACGAGTCTGTGTGGCTATGCACAAATAAGTGTGCAGCTTAATCAGTGACTGTTTAAGCAAGCAAGACACTGAGCTGGGGAACAGTTGAATAACCAGATGTGTGGATGTTTTTTGTTTTGTTTTTTTGGTGGGGGCTGCCTGTTAGAAAGCTCAATTGTCAAAAGTCTTTTGGTAATAAAAGAAGTGCATCCACAGCACTGGAAGTATGCTTGTGGTTTCATTTACAAGAAAACAAAACTTATAGAAATGGCTAAGATTAGATCACCTACTTTTAAAAAACTTATTTATTGTGTACATTCTGATATCATAACTAGGATTAAAGGCTAATTCACAGCTCATTCTAACTCCTTTATAAACAGAGTTACGTGATGCACGACGGCGTAATGCTGCTGCTATAACTGTCAGACGTAATCATGAGAAAACACTGTTTGGCTGTAATGGAAATCCCATGCTCAAGGAACTTTCCGTTAATTTGCTTCTAACTATTGGAAATGTGCGGTCAGTGAAAATAGAAAACATCCATCCGATTTCAGTGAGGACCGGCCGGGGCGTCTGCAATCGCTGCTGCGCTATTGTTGGACAAAACGCTTCAGAGAACCAGGCATGAAAATGGGCCTTTTTCTTTCACTGAACAGGCAGCATGCAGTCACACCTGTACTGTGGTTCGTCCTGTTATGCGAGCAGGTGGAGAGACAGAAGATGCCTTTGAGCTGCATAAGCTGGACACTTCTTACACAACGACTGACGTAGATGGAAACCAACGGCCACATTCCATTGTCTGGCAGACAGAGGTTTACTCTTTCTTCTGCTGCTGCTGCTCGCGTCACAGTCACCTTCCCCTCGACTATGCAGACAAGACATGGCATCACTTATGTGCTGCCAGCTCTCAACAAACCAGATGTTGCTGGAAAGACGAGATTACTGGCGCTACAGCGAGCCTTTCACAGGGAGCGCTTCTGAAAAAGGATGTGGGCTGTAATGACTAAGTGGTACATATACAAGTTAAAAGTGCCTTCTTCTGATTACATATTCGTTTGTTTGTGGGTAAGGAGTACGCCAGGCCTTATGCAAGTACTAGTTTAACATAAAAGACCATCCAGAAGTTGACTTTTATCAGTTCCAAGAAGCCGTTTTCGAGCACGCTAACCTCATCAAACACAGCCACTCTGGTAATAATGATAAGAAGCTGAAGAAGTAAAAGGCAGTTTATGGAAACCATGACATCACTGACCTTGTGACAGATGCACGTGTTCAGGTTTAACGTGGCGGGGAAAGATAACAGAACGCAAGATAATTATAGCAACAACTGATAAGACTAACAGATAGCACAAGGAAAATGAAGATCGCGGTGGAGGAAAAATGTGAGAAATTCAAATCATTACAGTCTTGACGTCATAGCGCATCAGCAAGGAGGACGGAGGTGTTTCTGAGTCAGGTTAAATGTCAGGTCGGTATGCTAAAAGCTGCTACAACATTTTTTATACAGAAAAGTTAGCTTGGGTAGTTAAACTATGGGAAAAACTCATAAAAACATTAAAAAAAGTTACTCAGTGGATGGTCATTGTGGACACAGCATGTGGGACAGTCCCTTCACTACTGACAGAGGGATAGCTGGCTCAACAGGTTGGGTCTGAAAGTCAGCGGACATTCCACCTATTTGAGACAAAGAAAACACTGATTCCAGGCCAGCCGTAGATGAGTCACAACCGTAGCAGATGCGCCTTGGGGCCTGGCAACAGCCCAGTCCCTGGCCTTGCCAGAGCGAATGTGCAGCCAATCGCGGCCGGGATCAAAATGACAGACGTGTCGGGCGCCCAACCGCGTTGAAACCAAAATGAAGGAATAAAAAATCTGAGCAGTTCCAAGTTGCTCTATAAGATCTGTTGGTATTGCGTTCTGGGCGTGTGGGAGTGTGTAGTGTGTTTAGGTAAGGTCTTAGCCAGTGAAAACAGTGCAGACTGAAGGTCTTTAGTGCCTCTGGGTTTTCTATAGGCCCGGATAAAGGTCAGCAGGGCCAGGAGACAATCTGCACACTGAACCCAGCGACCTGCTCCGCAACTCCTGGATAAGACAATAGAGAGAGGTATGTTTGCTGCGACGGTTAGAAAAACATAAATATAACAAAAAATTCATCATCTGCCACCACGTTCTCCTCCTAGAGGGCAAAAAGGAAAGAACTGATCCTAGAAGAGGCAACGCGATCAATCACAGAACCAATTCTATTCCCTTTGCCTTTCACTTCTGCAGAACTGTGCTGATAAATGGAGTGTGCGCTGCAGGAACACTGAGCATGTGTGGCCTGTAACAAACATCTGCACAGTGTATGCCAGAGCACGTGCAAACAGAATCCCAGGCCAGAACAGACAGCTTCAAACTTGCCAAAGTAGCAGAAGTCTACCTCTATAGACTATGTGGGAGTCTACAGAGACTTCATGGACCTCTCCGGTGACTCTATGAAACACGTTCACGCCTACTGTCTACAGACTAATCTGAGCATATACGCTGTGCATTAAGCTCCAGTGCTTGCATGAAGCCCTTTGGTCCGGATCCAGCTAGTTTTTGCCCACCCGTTTCTATCTGACCCTCTCCGACTTTATTGCATTTCTCTCTTTGCTCGTGCGCTCTCCCTCTCCTTGGCTTCATCTCTCCTTTGCTCTGCATTCCTGTAGGGGAAGGGCTGCATGCAAAGACATGCCATCGCTCTCTGCACACACAGTCTGGCTAAACAAAAGGAGAGGAGAGCCGAGGAGCACGAGCTACATGAGGAGTGAACTAAAGGAGATCAAGAGCACGAGATCTAATAAATATAGCTCTCAGTGCGGTTTGACTTGGCCTTCTTGTTTGGGAGGTAGCCGTGCACTTCATGAGCAAACATATCAGTGATCAATTTCATGCTCCACTTAATAGCAGCAATGGCATCGAGGCAAAATACCTGTCTGCATAACTGCCACTGCATTCTTTATCCAATTAGAAGTCAGGTTAGTTAAGAAATGTCTCACTGCCTCTGCAAACTCAACATCGCTGAGGTGGTTTTAATGCCAAGTTTGCAGAAGACGAGAGTGGAGCAGACAAGTTGAAAGACAGGAGGCCATGTTCTCAATGCTTTACAGCTGAAGGAAGGGAGGGCTTCAGGAAGAAGGAGACAGGAGATGAGAAATACCAGACTCGTGTCCAGACGTTCATAAATCACCGTCACCATGGATACTACATGGATCATGTCAGCAGGAATGAGCCAGAATTGAATATGAAGCTGAGATATGGATGAAACGGGAGAAGGACAGGGAAGAGGCGGTAGGAAGTGAGAACGAGGGAGTCGTTGAGATTAGCCAAGTGAGAGGGGTGAGGAGAGAGCAACGCTGGATCAGGGAAGTGAAAAACAGAACAGAAAAAAAAAGGAGGGTGAATGAAAGGTAAACCAGAACTTTGAGCGAGATGAGAAGAGTGAAGGAGTTTGGATCGGTGTGGGAGGTTGTCACAGCATGCCCTGGCCGCCCGGCGCGCTCCTCCTCTCTGCATTCCTTCGCAAGGGAAAGGTCTCTATCCTCCTATATTTCGCCATTTGGGCAACCAAACACCTGTCTGTCAAGTGTAAGCGTGCGAGCACACGCGTACGTATCTGTGAGTCCTGAGGCTCAAATGCAAGTTTGACAATTATATAAGATTCGATGGGAAAAGGTCAGAGAATATTGGTCAAGGTGCAGGACAGACAGATGGGCTCGCACATCTGTAGAATGACCTGCTGCTGCATCACCGGTCTTCATGGCATGGTCACACAGCGACTCTGTCTTTAGAAATGCAGGTGAAAAGGGAAAGATTAACGAGGCTTTGTCCTGTTAATGACCACAAGTCTGTGGCAAGGTCACTCCATCAGTGTCACGAGATTAATCACATGACAGAAGAAACCGGGGCACAAAGACAGTGAGG